ATCACCTCTAGCCTTTGTTTTTCTTCTATTGACAAAGGATGTTTGAAAGTATCTAGATAAATTCTCAAGATAAATTTCAATAGTGAACTCAAAAAGAAAAATTATAGCTTCTTTTTGAGATATGAGTTTCAGGATGTGGATATGGTCGAAAGAGATAATATTTTGATCTTTGTTAACTTTAAATTAAACTCTGAAATAATGAAAACAACATATGGAGGCACAAGTTAATCAATTACAGCTTGCATCATGTTACAAGAGAGACACTTATTTAGTGCAAGTAGTACGAAGCTTCTTTTGATAAAGACAGCTAAATATTCAGACTAGGAAAATGTTGGGTCTACCCTAAAGGCAGAAGCCCTCAAAAAATAGGTGTATGCCACTTAGTGTGGAGAGCACACGGTATTCTTTAGTAAAAGGCGAAAGAATAGTTCGCTTTGTGCTCACCACATGGCTGCGTGATTGTATCTCCAAGGGAATGAAGTCCTTTTTATATTCAGTTTTCCTCTGTCAAATCTCTCAGCTTTCCGATGTGGAACGCTGAAGCTCCTTTGTGGCTGTAGGGTATTACTAGGCCCATGTATTACGGATTACGTAAACCGATCTCCTCTAGCCTTTTTTTTCTTCTTCTCTTGATTAAGGATGTTTGAAGTATCTAGATAAATTCTCAATATAAATCTCACAAGTGAACTCAAATTTTTTTTTATAGTTTCTTTTTGAGACATGAGTTTCAAGATGTGGTTATGGACTATATTTAGATCTTTGCTAATTTTAAATAAATCTGCAAAGTAATGAAAACAACATAAGGAGGCGCAAGTTAATTAATTACAGCTTCCATGAAATAACAAAAGAGACATGGATTTACCGCAAATACAAAACTTTTTTTTTTAAGAAAAAGCTAAATATTCAGACTAGAAAAATGTTGGGTCTACCCAAAGGCAGAAACCGTCCAAAAATAGGTGTATGCCACTTAGCGTGGAGAGAACACGGTATTCTTTAGTAAAAGGCGAAAGAATAGTTCGCTTTGTGCTCACCACCTGGCTGCGTGATTGTAACTCAAAAGGAATGAAGTCTTTTTATATTCAGTTTTCCTCTATCAAACTCTCTCAGCTTTCCGATATGGGATGCCGAAGTTCTTTATTAACAATTTTAGAGGCCTTTGTGGCTGTAGGGTATTACTAGGCCCATGTATTACGGATTATGTAAACTGATCTCCTCGGGCCTTTGTTTTTCTTTTATTGACTAAGGATCTTTGAAGAATCTAGATAAATTCTCAAGATAAATTTCAATAGTGAACTCAAAAAGAAAAATTATAGCTTCTTTTTTGAGATACGAGTTTCAGGATGTGGATATGGTCGAAAGAGATAATATTTTGATCTTTGTTAACTTTAAATTAAACTCTGAAATAATGAAAACAATATATGGAGGCACAAGTTAATCAATTACAGCTTGCATCATGTTACAAGAGAGACACTTATTTAGTGCAAGTAGTACGAAGCTTCTTTTGATAAAGACAGCTAAATATTCAGACTAGGAAAATGTTGGGTCTACCCTAAAGGCAGAAGCCCTCCAAAAATAGGTGTATGCCACTTAGTGTGGAGAGCACACGGTATTCTTTAGTAAAAGGCGAAAGAATAGTTCGCTTTGTGCTCACCACATGGCTGCGTGATTGTAACTCCAAGGGAATGAAGTCCTTTTTATATTCAGTTTTCCTCTTTCAAATCTCTCAGCTTTCCGATGTGGGAAGCTGAAGCTCCTTATTAACAATTTTAAAGGCCTTTGTGGCTGTAGGGTATTACTAGGCCCATGTATTACGGATTACGTAAACCGATTTCCTCTAGCCTTTTTTTTCTTCTTCTCTTGATTAAGGATGTTTGAAGTATCTAGATAAATTCTCAATATAAATCTCACAAGTGAACTCAAAAAAAATTTATAATTTCTTTTTGAGACATGAGTTTCAAGATGTGGTTATGGACTATATTTAGATCTTTGCTAATTTTAAATAAATCTGCAAAGTAATGAAAACAACATAAGGAGGCGCAAGTTAATCAATTACAGCTTCCATCAAATAACAAAAGAGACATGGATTTACCGCAAATACAAAGCTTTTTTTTTTAAGAAAAAGCTAAATATTCAGACTAGAAAAATGTTCGGTCTACCCAAAGGCAGAAACCCTCCAAAAATAGGTGTATGCCACTTAGCGTGGAGAGAACACAGTATTCTTTAGTAAAAGGCGAAAGAATAGTTCGCTTTGTGCTCACCACCTGGCCGCGTGATTGTAACTCAAAAGGAATGAAGTCTTTTTATATTCAGTTTTCCTCTATGAAACTCTCTCAGCTTTCCGATATGGGATGCCGAAGTTCTTTATTAACAATTTTAGAGGCCTTTGTGGCTGTAGGGTATTACTAGGCCAATGTATTACGGATAATGTAAACTGATCTCCTCTGGCCTTTGTTTTTCTTCTATTGACTAAGGATGTTTGAAGTATCTAGATAAATTCTCAAGATAAATTTCAATAGTGAACTCAAAAAGAAAAATTATAGCTTCTTTTTTGAGATACGAGTTATATGGTCGAAAGAGATAATATTTTGATCTTTGTTAACTTTAAATTAAACTCTGAAATAATGAAAACAACATATGGAGGCACAAGTTAATCAATTACAGGTTGCATCATGTTACAAGAGAGACACTTATTTAGTGCAAGTAGTACGAAGCTTCTTTTGATAAAGACAGCTAACTATTCAGACTAGGAAAATGTTGGGTCTACCCTAAAGGCAGAAGCCCTCCAAAAATAGGTGTATGCCACTTAGTGTGGAGAGCACACGGTATTCTTTAGTAAAAGGCGAAAGAATAGTTCGCTTTGTGCTCACCACATGGCTGCGTGATTGTAACTCCAAGGGAATGAAGTCCTTTTTATATTCAGTTTTCCTTGTCAAATCTCTCACCTTTCCGATGTGGGACGCTGAAGCTCCTTATTAACAATTTTAAAGGCCTTTGTGACTGTAGGGTATTACTAGGCCCATGTATTACGGATTACGTAGACCGATCTCCTCTAGCCTTTTTTTTCTTCTTCTCTTTATTAAGGATTTTTGAAGTATCTAGATAAATTCTCAATATAAATCTCACAAGTGAACTCAAAAAAAAATTTATAGTTTCTTTTTTGAGACATGAGTTTCAAGATGTGGTTATGGACTATATTTAGATCTTTGCTAATTTTAAATAAATTTGCAAAGTAATGAAAACAACATAAGGAGGCGCAAGTTAATCAATTACAGCTTCCATCAAATAACAAAAGAGACATGGATTCACCGCAAATACAAAGCTTTTTTTTTTAAGAAAAAGCTAAATATTCAGACTAGAAAAATGTTGGGTCTACCCAAAGGCATAAACCCTCCAAAAATAGGTGTATGCCACTTAGCGTGGAGAAAACACGGTATTCTTTAGTAAAAGGCGAAAGAATAGTTCGCTTTGTGCTCACTACATGACTGCGTGATTGTAACTGTAAGGGAATGAAGTCTTTTTATATTCAGTTTTCCTCTATCAAATTCTCAGCTTTCCGATGTGGGACGCTGAAGCTCATTATTAACAGTTTTAAGTGCCTTTGTGGGTGTGGAGTTTTACTAGGCCCAAGTAGTTGCTACAAAAACCGATTTCTTCTAGCCTTTTTTTTTGTTATTAAGGATGTTTGAAACATCTAGATAAATTCTCAAAATATGGATCTCAACGATCAACTCGAACAAATTATAGCTTATATGAGACATGTGTTTCATGATGTGGCTATGGTCTGGCGAGACTATATTAGATCTTTGCTAACTTTAAATCAAAGTGCGAAGTAATGAAAACAACATATGAAGGCGCAAGTTAATGAATTACAGCTTGGATCAGATGACAAGAGGGACATGGATTTACCGTAAGTGTACTTACGTAATAAGAACGAAGATTCTTTTGTAATAGACAACTAAACTGTCAGACTAGAAAATTGTTGGGTCTACCCAAAAGGCAGAAACAGTCCAAAAAATAGGCGTATGCCACTTAGCATGGTGAGCACACAGAATTTTTTAGTAAAAGGCGAAAGAATAATTCACTTTGTGCTCACCATATGGTTATATGATGGTAACTGTAAGGAAATGAAGTCTTTTTATATTCAGTTTCCTCTCTCAAACCCTCTCAGCTTTTCGATGTGAGACGTTGAAACTCCTTATTAGCAGTTTTAAAGGCCTTTGTGACTGTGGGGTATTACTATAGACCCTTGTATTACGCGTTATGTAAACCGATCTCCTCTAACCTTTTTTTTTTTTTAATTAACGTTGCTTCAAGCATCTAGATAAATTCTCGACATAGATCTCAACGATCAACTCGAACAAATTATAGCTTCTTTGAGACATGAGTTTCAAGATGTGGTTATGGTCTAGCGAAACTATACTATTAAGTAATGAAACTATTAAGTAATGAAAACAACATAATGAAAACTATACTATTAAGTAATGAGTTTCAACTTTCAAGATGTGGTTATACTATCTTTGTTAACTTTAAATCAAACTATTAAGTAATGAAAACAACATATGGAGGCACAAGTTAATAATTTACAGCTTGCATCAGATAACAAGAGAGACACGGATTTACTGCATGAGTTTATAGCTTCTTTGAGACATGAGTTTCAAGATGTGGTTATGGTCTATAGAGAGAGTATTATAGAGAATGCGTTCCAATCCGTCCTAGCTATGTCATGCCTTTGCATTGGCCTTTGAGGATTCGAAAAGATACTAGCATTTCAAATCGTTTTGCGGTAATTCCTCGTACACGTTCATTAGATTAGATGATATGAAGTTTCACTAGAGAACAATGAAGTATTTTTGGTTGAAGATGCTAGTGTCCTTGGATGTGAAAAGCCAAACATTAGTGTTCCACCAGTTGGGTTTCTAAATAAATGTTATTTCATAACCTTTGTAATAGTTTTTATACACAAGGAAAAATAATGGAAATGACAATTCATAGCTCATTAGTTAATAAGCCCATTCCTTGGGAAGAAAAACTTGTTTGACGATAGGGCATTGCTTCTTCTTCGAGTTGGGTCTCTTGTATTGTGAGCTACTCACGGGTCTTGCAGGAAGAAAGACTCCAGTGCCACGTGGTTTGATTCGCCCTGCATCAATATCATCACTTGGCTTCTTTATAGAACCAGAACCAACATAGCGATAGTGGTGTAACGCGTACCACATCCTTGGCTTCCAATCATAGTTGCTATAACTCTGTAAATACATGTAGCAAACTTGGTTTCATTATATACTTCCCCAACATTAACTTAATAACATTAGTCAGTTTTGTTATAATGATTGATTGACTTGTAAAAAACGAAGACAAACCTGTGGAAATGGAAGAAAAACCTCATTGAAGAGGTTTGAAGGTAAAAGAAACAATCCTTCCTCCAAACCAACCACAACCTCTTCTTTGCAAGACATGTTGCTACTACGATTTCAAAGACTCCCTCCAATGCATTTGTGTATATATACGTATGTTACTTTACACTCAAGATTCAATGAGGTATAATTTAGGTGAACCTCTCTCTTGTGGAGTGGTGGTGGTGGTTGCAGTTATGTGTGTATGTGGCTTCTTCTCTCTATGGTTTAGTTCGGCTTAATAACCATAAGCACTTCGATTTGGTTGGTTATGCTAAATTCTTCTAACCCACCACACCAACTCTTTTTAATTTTTTTTTATATCAATACTCTTTTCATTTGACCACCAAACACCTTACCATATTTAGATTATACTAGTGTTAGACCCCCGCTACGCCGCGGTTTGTATAATCTTTTTACAATTTTTTTTTTTAATTTTTATTTAATCGTCCTCATCAGTTCACATGAACTCCATGATAATGTTAAAAGAATTTTAAGTAAAAAAAAATTAACAAGCTTGACAGATATGTGGTTTGCTCAACGAATTTCCAATCATACAACAAGTTCAGATCAAAATGAGCTCCCTTAGCCTCCTGTTGCTTTTTTCTCTCTAACAAATGAATCAAGACGTGGAAATTTTTCGAATAGCTTGAAAGAATCGTAAGTGGAGTAGGTTAGGGTCTTAGGGTTAAAAAAACAACATTTAAATAATACTGCCCGACTCATCAGCTGAGGTAGGAGGAGAGAGCGGTGGAGGACCGGTTTCATGATCGGACCCAGTCGTAAAATGGATGCAACTCGAGTCTTCATCATCTCTCCCTCTTGATTTCCTCTGTTTTCTTCCTTTTGATCATTTCCTCTCATACACATTATCTGAAAACATGATCTCAAGAAGACCTGAACTTTCCATTCGCTGTAAATCTTTTAATCAAACCCCAATAAACCTCTTTAACTATCAAAAGCTTCTTCCTTTCATTTCCTTAAACAATTCATGGCCTCGCCTCTTCCGACTCTCTACACAAGTGCCATTTCCATGTTTGGGTTCAAATTTAGCTTACTTCCTTATGAATGAAATACCCTTTAAATCTAGATGAAATAAATTATGATTGAATCCATCAATAAAAGTTTGTGCGTGAAGTCAAAAAGTTAAAAATTCTACCTCTGAAGAGCAGTACACAGTAGACTTGAAGTACCCTTTCAAAATTTTCTCTGCTTATTATACTTTCTGAGGAATCTTTGTTACTATCTCCAATTTTCTCCTCCGAAACTGGACTTTTAGATGCACGAACCCACTTAAGACCACATGCCGCATGAAACAAAAGAACAACAATCATGCACCAAGAACGAATTCTATCTTAAAGCCAAATTTGTTCAATCAAGAATAAGTCAATTTAATTTTATCAGCTGCTATCAGCCAATCTCTTCAAAACACATTGACAAGGAATCGATATCTTAGTAGGAAAGTCGTGACTCGGACCAACCAGGAATCCAGGAGCTTGTCCCATGTATGGAGGTCTCGTGAAATTCCTTGGTTCATTATCCGAGAGTGTGTTTATCCGTCGAGCTGCAAGACAAACGAAGAAAACAAATTAGCAAGAAGAGAGATAATTCAGTTGATATAGGAAAGGGCTTTGTTCGTGTCGTAGCTAAGCCCCCTGCACTGATGTTTACACTTTCTGTAGTTTCACTTATTTATTTCAGCATATGGATAGGAACAGATTTCATCTTCTGCTCTACCGCCATACATATTATCTCAACTAATAAGATGATACAACAGCATACATAAAAGGTGTAATTCTAAGATTAAGGAGCCTGATATAGAATGAGTAGATGAGATGTAGAGAAAACAACCAAAAGAAGTTCTCTAAATCTCTAAATCAAATGAAGTTCTCTAAATCTGTTATTCAGTGTGAGATGAATAAACTCTGAGAATAGACAAACGCATGAATCATGACAAGTAGTTACACAAACTCATATCAAGGTTGGATTAAGATTTCGAAGGTGGAAGTAATATTTTACCTCAGATTAATCATAGAAGTATACATACATCTCGCTTCCATCTTCATATGTTAGCTTCCTCTGCTGCATCCTTTACTTCCTTCGGGATTAATAAGTTCCAGTTCCTCATAGCCAACCAAATTGAGAAGCAAATCAACATTAGCTCAACATTCAGGAAATCTCAGTTAGAAGTGAATGGGAACTTTTCATCAATGAATGAAGCTAACTGATTGAAAACGATTGGAGAAGCAAAAAGCATCAAAACCAAACATACAAATTAAACACAGTCGCATATCCGGGTTTATGAAAAGGGATCTCAAAAACCTTACCCGTTAACTGATCTGGACATAGTAGATCCGAAATTAAGATCGATGAACCATGAGAAGCAGAGAACCCGCCGTCATTATTAGAATGTTTGGAACAATCTCCGAGCAATGGATCAAAATCAGTAACACGACACTACAACCTCCACGAAATGCAAAAAAAATGAGAAAGAGAGAGAGAAGCGTTCTCTTCAAATTCCAATGGAGTGTGGACTCTGACGAATGAGAAGGACAATTGTTCCAGGATCAAAGGGAGAATGAATCGGAGATTTGTGTGTAAGAACTTAATTTTCTCGACGAAAGAGAGAGAGAACACAATGGAAATTGTCGAAGAAAAAAGAAAGATTATTTTTGAAATTGAACCGAACCGGACCAAATACGTGGGTAAATAAACCAAAGAAAATGCACACTGGTATTATTTAGAATGTTTTCATTGGGCAATCGTTTTTTCCGAGGTGGCAGCTCCTCCCTACTTGAAAAAGTTGATGTCAACTCCTTGAGTAATACAACGGATATTATTGTGTTGATTAGGGTTGACCTAAAGTATTCAATCCAAATAGAGTAGAACCTCTATAAAACAATACTCGATAAAACAATAAACACTATAAGATAATAAATTTCTCCGGTCCCAACTCGGGCCAATGTAAAAAATAGCATAATGCGATAAGATGATAAGACAATAATATTTTTGAAACTCCTATGTAAAAATATAGTCCCAACAATAGGCTAAGATAATAATTATAAAACTAAGGCATATATATCTAAGGCAATTTAGTAAAATATGACTCCAATGTAGTTTGTCTTTTATGAAAGTTGGATTCTCGTTGGAGCTCATCTCGAATTTTTCTTATTGCATCAACAATTTATGGGGCCAAAAGTTGTGAAGAGTTTTCGAAGCCACAATTGATTCCTTACGTGTACCTACTTACATATATTTCTATAAAGTTTCTTGTTTTTTATAGAATATTTTTAATTATTATTTTATCGATAAAACAATAACTCGATAAGATAATAAATTTTCAAAGTCCCAACATTATTGTTTTATAGAGGTTTTACTGTATGCTTTATTTGAAACCGGTTTAAATCGGTTTTTATTTGGGTAAGGAAAGTGAATTCAGGGTTTTGTTTTTCGATCATTATGCGGGTTTGGTTCGATGATTTGGGTAGGTGAAACCGGATCTGGCAATTTTAGTTCGTCGCGGCTTAACCGGAATTTGTTAAACCTAAAACAAGTTTGAGGTGAAGAGACTCATTCAAACTTGAAACGAGAGGAATTTTGCAATTCTCTTTTCTCTCGCTCGTCGTCGTTATGCGTTTTTTTGAGTTCAATTGGCCGGTGGGGGTGACGATCGTGCCTCATGCTCGTGATCGTGACCGTGCTCGTCCAACTTCCGAACAGATGTGAGCGTTTTCAACGGATGCGTCGTTTTTCGAGTAAGCGCACCACTTGTTCGACGAAATTCCTAGGCAAGCTTTCTTCGATCACAGCTCTGTGATGGAATAGAATCCACCTGAATTCGCTATTCGACGTCAGGTTACAGGAAAAGAGAGATTCAGTGGCAAGTGGGTAAGTACTTTTTGCGTTCCCCATTTCATTGTTTGCTTTTGCACATTTCTGCTTTTATAGTTCCTAAGAAGTTAGCTGTTGCATCTCCTAAGTAAAGTTTTATCGATAGATTTTAACCATCTGGGTACTAGTTAGAGCCTACGGTGAATGAGCATTCTTTGAATCATAACACTTGACCAAGTACATAGTTGTTATATGATCTACACAAACTGCTGTTGAAACTTGAATACATGTCTTATTTTGTGTTTGGCCAGATATCTACTGCTTTTAAAGAATGCTGTTGAGTTTTTGAACTTAGCTTGAGATATATGCTAGAACCAAAGGAAGGATTCATAGTGTTGTAGTTTCCACTGGATCATAGGCTAAATTAAATATCTCATCTCTAAGAATTTTACTGCTGGAACTTAGACTATCTACTTTCAAAAAAAAGACCATGGGGGCATTTAGTACATTTGCTTTACAAAAAGTCAATGGGGGCATTCCGAGAATCGAACTCGGGACCTCTCGCACCCAAAGCGAGAATCATACCACTAGACCAAATGCCCTGTTGGTTATTTAGTTCCAGGAATGCTTTGTGTTGTGATTTGATCCTGAACACACTCTTCATTCGGTTTTTAGAGAAAAAATTACTCTTGGGGGTTATCCTTTCGAGGGTTCAATTGCTAATGAATCTGGCAACATACAGGTAGAGTAAGTTCAAATTCTTTCTTTTCAGCATTCTGCCTTTGTCTTTGGTCCTTTCTCTTGTTTAGACAATCTAACATAGAAATTACATCTTAGATTTAGTTCATAAAAAAATGAAGAAGATCTAGTTTTTTAGTTGACTTTCATGCCTTAACAATGAAAGTGGGTTGTCCGTAGTTAAATATTGATGAAATTGGTAGCTGGAATTTAGAACATTTTCTTTACAAAAAGTCAATGGGGGCATTCCGAGAATCGAACTCGGGACCTCTCGCACCCAAAGCGAGAATCATACCACTAGACCAAATGCCCTGTTACTGATGTTGTATTGTTGTTAAGTTAGAGCATTCTCTTTGTTTCCTTAGGCTTTCTTGGGGGCATTCTGGAGAATCATACCACTTGACAAAATGCCCTGTTTATTTACATTCTTTCCTTTCCTTAGGCTTTGTTGATTTAGTTCTATTCAAGCTTTCTATTTTTGTTTGTGGAGAGAGTTAAAATACCCTTAACTCTCTTTTCTCGTTAGACTTAATCACCATTCTTCTGCTGTTTCTGCAGCTCTCAAATTGTATCAACCTTTACTGTATGAAGTTTACTGGTTAAAAAGACTTGTATATTGGACTCCAAACAGCGGTATGTTTTTCTTTACATTATGCGCTTGATTTTGAAAGTTAAGTAGAGCCTTAGTCATTGGACCCTTGAATGTTGGACAAGCATATCTATATGTGTTAGCGAACATCTCTTTGCTGAGCCGTAAGTTTATCACCCTAGAACCCAGTAATAAAAAAAGTCGAGGGGGCATTCCGAGAACTCGGGACCTCTCGCACCCAAAGCGAGAATCATACCACTAGACCAAATGCCCTGTTGTTAAGAAATTTACCTAAAACGTTTATGATTTGGTCATACTTTGATCTAGCTCCCATTGTTGACTTTTACTAAATAGATATTTTAGTCTTTGTAGGATGTTCGTAGATCTAATCTGTGAGATCTGTTTCAACTGAGTTCTAATGGAATGATCATATGCATTCCCGTTTCAAATTTGATTTCTGGTTTGCATTGTACCCTGTATGGAAATACTCAGAAGAAGATAGGCTTTTCCCTGACTTACATTTTTGAAATTGGCTCTATGATCTTTGCTGTCTAAACATTTGACTTCACCATAGAGAGAATGCTGCTGTATTTATACTCTAGCTTTTTTTAGGCTTTATACTTATTAAAGCCCAATTCATGAATCTCTATTCATACTTTCTTTTGGTGGAACTGCATATTAAATGTGTGGTTTGTAATGAAGTAAAGAAATGATTCCTGGTTTTCCATACATATCTTAGTTTGACACTGATTTTATTATGTTCTTAAGTTAATGGATTTTATTAGCATTCTCTCCTTTCTTTTATAGTTATTTTTTGTGGCTTCTTTGCCTTTCCATTAGATGCTATAGCACAATTCATTTGCTATTTCTGCAGCTTATTGTGTGTGAACTCGGCAGCCCAAAACATGATGCCCTATATGAAGTTTACTAATTAAAAAGATGAATTGACTGGACTTGAGATATCGGTATGATCTTCTTTTCCTTTGCATTTAGCACTTAACTTATGAATTTTCAAGGTGTTTTCTTTGCTGATATGAAAAGATAATTACTCTATAGTCCTCTATTAGAACAAAATATGGGAAAAAATTTAGGACAAAAACAAAAACCTGATTTTCGTAGAATTTCGGTTATATGTTATTATTGCATTTAGCTGCAGGAATTCTGATCAGAGCCGCTTGCTTTCTTTTAGCAGAGCCTTAGTCATTGTACCCTTGATTGTTGGATAAGCATATCTGTATGTGTTAGTGAACATATCTTTACTTAGCCGTAAGTTTATGCACCCTAGAACACAGTTATCAAAAAGTCAGCGGGGGCATTCCGAGAATCGAACTCGGGACCTCTCGCACCCAAAGCGAGAATCATACCACTAGACCAAATGCCCTGTTCTTTATATCTTGTTCTGTTATTGCATCGTATTTGCATTCTCACATTTCTCCAAGAAAATGGTTGCTTCCCTTTACTTTTTTTGTTAGAATGCTTACTTACAGTTCTTTTTCTGTTTTGCATCTCATCTTTGTGAATCAGGCAGAGCTTGCAAAACGAGATGGTTCTCCATATTACTGGGTTGAATGATTTACTGATTCTGACGTGAAACAGGTAAAATTTTCTTCTTCATTGCTCAATAACGCAACTTTATAGAGTTTATGTTTTAAAATGGACTTGCTGAAGTGAAAGAGAAGATTTAGTTTTGTTAGTTGACTTTCATGCCTTAACAATGAAAGTGGATTGTCCGTAATTTAATATTGATGAAATGTTAGCTACCATTTAGAACATCTACTTTACAAAAAGACCATGGGGGCATTCCGAGAATCGAACTCGGGACCTCTCGCACCCAAAGCGAGAATCATACCACTAGACCAAATGCCCTGTTGTTGAATTAGTTCTATTGAACTATTGTGTAACTTGTGTTGCTGTTTAATCCTGTGGAAATGAGAACACACTCTACACTCTACACTCTGTTTTTAGAGGAAAATTTAGTCTTGGTTTTTTTTTTCCTTTTGAGGGTGCAATTATTGATGAATCTGTCAACATACAGCTAGAGTAAGTTCTAAATATTCTTTTCAGCATTTGTCTTTGGTCTTTTAACAGTGAAGGAGGATTGTCCCTAATTATTAAGTGATGAAATGATAGCTGGAATTTAGAATATCTACTTTACAAAAAGTCAATGGGGGCATTCCGAGAATCGAACTCGGGACCTCTCGCACCCAAAGCGAGAATCATACCACTAGACCAAATGCCCTGTTTCTTATGTTGTCAGAGTTAATGATTTCTTTAAGAGAACTGTTGCCATTTGCGTATGTTTTGATGCTTTATCACAATTCTCTTGCTGTTTGTACAGCTATTTCTTTGTGAATCCGCCAGCTTACAAAACATGATGGTCCTCCCTCCTTAACCAGATTTATTGATTGGATGTGAAACAGTGGTATGCTCTTCTTTTCTTTTGTAGTAAGCATTTACTTTAAGTGTTGTCGGGCGTTTATTTTTCTCTTGCTGAAATGAAAAGGGTAAATATGGTCGTCACTTGGTACAAGGACTAAATAAAAATCCATTTTTCTAAGCAATTTTCTGCATGAATTTAGGCTGTCATTTAGAGAATATGTAATCCGTTTCAAGCATTATGTCTGCAGCGTAAGTTGTTAAGATGGCATTAGGTTCTCCTGTACAACTTGAACCATAGGATCAGTTTGAATCTGAAGTTTTAGATGTAACGAGACTTAATTTCTTCAGTTAGTCAGGAGGCTTTAAGCTAGGTGCTCTTTGCTTATATTAATGCGAATATCTATGTTACAATCTGGAACATTTGTTGTTTTTCTTTCTGCATCTGTTTTCCTATTTTAGCTTCTCCTAGTGTTATTCATCTAATAGGATGCTTATGGTAGATGTGGAAGATGAGTTTGACGCAGATAAGAAAAACGTAATAGATATAAGATGGGAACGGCTGGTATTATAATCAGTTTTTGATAAGTAATTTGTCAAGGATGAGAACTGTAAATCTTAGGTGAAAACTGAAAAGTATTGGATTCACTTCTTTGACTAATGACTACATAACAGGAGACTGTTATATGTTATTGCATCTAGCTGCCCGCCTGCTTTCATTAAGCAAAGCCTTAGTCATTGTACCCTTGATTGTTGGATAAGCATATCTATGTGTTAGTGAACATATCTTTACTTTATTTGTTTTTTGTCGACGAACATATCTTTACTTAGCCGTAAGTTTATGCACCCTAGAACATAGTTATCAAAAAAGTCAATGGGGGCATTCCGAGAATCGAACTCGGGACCTCTCGCACCCAAAGCGAGAATCATACCACTAGACCAAATGCCCTGTTGTTAATTTAGCTTCATTGAACTATTGTGTAACTTGTGTTGCTGTTTAATCCTGTGGAAAAAAGAACACACTCTTTACTCTGTTTTTAGAGGAAAAAATTACTCTTGGGGTTTTTTCCTTTTGAGGGTTCAATTATTTATGAGTAAGTTCAAATTATTCTAAATATTCTGTTTAGCATTCATCATTCGTCTTTGGTCCTGTTTCTTGTTTAGATAATCTAAGAAAGATATTGCGTTTAAGATCTAGTTCTAGTAGTTGACTTTTAGAGCTTAACAGTGAAGGAGGATTGTCCGTAGTTAAATATTGATGAAATGGTATTTTCTTTACAAAATGTCAATGGGGGCATTCCGAGAATCGAACTCGCACCCAAAGCGAGAATCATACCACTAGACCAAATGCCCGGTTATTGGTGTTACTAAGTCAAATCATTCTCTTTGTTTCCTGTCCCTTTTCTTGAGAATGTTAGACCAAATGCCCTGTTTCGTAAGTTGTTCAGATTATGCCTTCTATTTGCATGCTCTCTTTTCTGCTGGAATGCTTAATCACAGTCTTTTTATTTTTCTATTTCTGCAGCTCATTCGATGGGAAGTAGCCAGCTTACAACGAGATGGTCCTCCCTAAGAAGTTTACTGTCTAAAATCATTTATTGATTGGACTTGAAGTGGTATGTTTTTCGTTCCCGTTGCAGTAAGGAATTAGTAATAAAAACATTATGGGTCCTAAAGCCTAAACCAAAGGACTAAAAAAGATAGGGTCCTTGGCTTTTGAACAAGATCTGAGAAATATTTAGGACTAATAAAGATTTGATATTCTAAGCAACTTTCAGCAGCTTTAGAAACAAATGCTTTAGAAAAAGTTAAAGGGGCATTCCCAGAATCGAACTCGGGACCTCTCGCACCCAAAGCGAGAATCATACCACTAGACCAAATGCCCTGTTTCTTATGTTGTTTGAGTTGATGATTTCATTGAGTCTACCGAGAGAACTGTTGCCAATTGCATTTGTGTTCATGCTTAATCACAATTCTCTTGCTGTTTCTGCAGCAAATTCTTTGTGAATCCGTCAGCTTACAAAACAGTGGTATGAAACAGTGGTATGCTCTTCTTATCCTTTGTATGAAGCATTTGATAGTGAAACTTTAAGTGTTGTTTCTGTTTATTTTTCTCTTGCTCAAAAGAAAAGGTAAAATATGGTCCTCACTTGGAACAAGATCTGTGATAAAACGAGGACTAAATAAAGATTCAAGTTTCTGCATGAATTTAGGCTGCCATTTAGAGAATATGTTCTACAAATACTCAATGGGGCATTCCGAAAATCAACCTAGGGAGCTCTCGCACCCAAATCCAGAATCATAGGACTAGACCTAATGCCCTGTTTTTCATGTTGTTCAGTAAATTCCATCTATTTGCATTCTCTCCTTCTCGTTCTTGTAGTAACTGTTGCTTCCCTTCGCTTTGTCGGCAGACTTAATCACGATTCTTCTCTTGTTTCTGCAGCTCTCAAATTGTGACAGCCTTTACTGTATGGAATTTACTGGTTAAAAGGACTTGTATTTTGGACTCCAAACAGCGGTATGTTTTTCTTTGCAATATGCATTTGCTTTTGAAAGTTAAGCAGAACCTTAGTCAGTGTACCCTTGAATGTTGGACAAGCATATCTATATTTGTTAGTGAGCATATCTTTGCTGAGCCGTAAGTTAATGCACCTAGAACACAATTATCAAAAAAAGTGAAGGGGGCATTCCGAGAATCGAACTCGGGACCTCTCGCACCCAAAGCGAGAATCATGCCACTAGACCAAATGCCCTGTTGTTTATATCTTATTTTGTTCTTGCATTCTCTCATTTCTCCAAGAAAATGGTTGCCTCCCTTTAATTTTTTTGTTGAAATGCTTACTTACAGTACTTTTTCTGTTTCTGCATCTCATTTTTTTGGATCAGGCAGCCTGCAAAACGAGTTGATCCTCCCTATTACTGGGTAAAATGATGTACTGATTCTGACGTGAAACAGAGGTAAACTTTGTTTGTTTCCATTGCTCAATAATGAAACTTTATAGAGTTTTTGTATTTGAAATGGACTTGCTGAAGTGAAAGGAAGGGATATATGGCCCTCTGTGAAATATCTAGGACTAAATATAGACATAATGTCAGTAAATTTCAGCTGGCTTTAGAGCATTTACTTTAGAAAAAGTCAGTGGGGCATTCCGAGAATCGAACTCGGGACCTCTCGCACCCAAAGCGAGAATCATACCACTAGACCAAATGCCCTGTTGTTAATTTAGTTCCAGGGAAGCATTGTGTTGTTGACTTGTTGCTTAATCCTGTGGAAAGGAGAACACACTCTTAATTCTGTTTTCAGAGAAAATTTACTCTTGGGGGGGTTTACGTGAGGGTTCAATAATTGATAAATCTGGCAACGAATAGCTAGAGTAAGTTCAAATTATTCGACATTTTCGTTTCAGCATCCAGCAAGTTCTTAAGTTCTGTTTCTTGTTTAGATAATCTAAGAGAGAAGTGACGTTTTAGATCTAGTTCTGTTTGCTGAGTTTCTTAAAGTGAAGGTGGATTGTTCTTGATTTAATATATGATGAAATGTTAGCTGGCATTTAAAACATATTTTTTTGACAAAAATTCAAGGGCAGGAACACGATCCTTTTGCTATTCTTGGTGCTCTCATGGCGAGTCCTCTATTTGATGCCTTGCGGGATATAAGGTTGATATTTGTTTATTTTTTTCTTTAAAATAGATCAAGTTATGGTGGATCATTTTATTTGATGGGTGTAAGAGCCTTAAGACTTAACAAAACGTGCAAGACTTTTCCATTTGATGTTTCTATTTTGATGAAGCTGGCAATATACAGTTAGGCTAAGTTTTAAGAAAGGGACTTGCTTATTAGATCTAGTTTTGTTAGTTGACCTTAAGCAGTTAATACTAAAGGGGGTTGTTTTGAAATTTTGATAAATTATAAGTTTGGATTTGCTGAATGTTGTCTTAGAAAAACTGTCACCTGTAGTTTTTACTTTTTACCATCTGCTTAAAAAAAAAGTCAAGGGGCATTCCGAGAATCGAACTCGGGACCTCTCGCACCCAAAGCGAGAATCATACCACTAGACCAAATGCCCTGTTGTTGAATCTTGTGTTGCTGTTTAATCCTGTGGAAAAGAGAACACACTCTGCACTCTGTTTTTAGAGGAAAATTTAGTCTTGGGTATTTTTCCTTTTGAGGGTGCAATTATTGATGAACCTGTCAAGATACAGCTAGAGTAAGTTCAAATTATTCTAAATATTATTTTCAGCATTCAGCATTTGTCTTTGGTCCTGTTTCTGTTCAGATAATCTAAGAAAGATATTGCGTTTTAGATCTAGTTCTGGTAGTTGACTTATAGGGCTTAACAGATATTGTCCGTAGTTAAATATTGATGAAATGGTAGCTGGTAAGAACATTTTTTTTTACAAAAAGTCAGTGGGGGCATTCCGAGAATCGAACTCGGGACCTCTCGCACCCAAAGCGAGAATCATACCACTAGACCAAATGCCCTGTTTTCTTATGTTGTTGTCTATTTGCATTCTCACTATTCTAAGAAAATGGTTGCTTCCCTTTACTTATTTTTTTGGTTGGAATGCTTACTTATATGTCCTTTTCTGGTAGCTTGCACAATGAGTTGGTCCTCCCTATTACTGAGTAAAATGATTCACTGAGTTGACCTGAAACAGAGGTTATTTTACGCTTCCATTTCATATTAACGAAACTCTATAGATTTTTTGTATTTGATATGCACTTAGGGAGGATATATGGCCCCCGGTAGTTGAACTAGATTTATGAAAAATCTAGGACTGAACAATTTCAGCTGGGTTTAGAACATCTCATTTAGAAAAAGTCAAAGGGGCATTCCGAGAATCATACCACTAGACCAAATGCCCTACTGTTTATGTAAATCAATTCAAGCTTTTGTTTGGTGTTTACAATCTTTTTGTGAGAAGAAAAAATACTTACTTTACTGCTTTTCCTACTGAGGATTTCATACTTGACGAGTCTTATGAGTTTAAGTTAAGTATTTTCAATCTTTTCTACATCTGATGCTTTAAGCTGTTATATGTAATGTTCACTTTCTTGTTAAGCAAATCAATAAGATGAAAGCTGTTTTTATTACATTTAGTACTATTTGTTGACGTTTGGCCCATAGTACAACTGAAAGTCTTACAGGGGATTATGTCATTTAGTCTTGGTGAAGTATCTGGTATTAGTGAAACTTAAGGTTGTTTACCTTTTATTTTTGCTCTTGCTGAAATGAGAGAGTAACTTATGGTTAGTTGTTGAAACAAGATCTGTGAACGATCTAGGATTGAATTCTAATTTATTTTTACCAAAAATGTCAACGGGGGCATTCCGAGAATCGAACTCGGGACCTCTCGCACCCAAAGCGAGAATCATACCACTAGACCAAATGCCCTGTTATTGAATAACTCAGTCAGTCCATAACTGTTCTTGAGAATCATACCAGTAGACAAAATGCCCTGTTTATTTACATTCTTTCCTTTCCTTGAGAGTTGAGAGAATTGTTGTTTCCCTTTGACTTTGTGTTGGATGCTTAGTCACAATTCTTTTGCTGTTTCTGCAGCTCAATAATTCTTTGTGGTCGGGCTGCTTATGGATCAATATTTCTTTGTGGATCTTTGCAGAGTCTAACGCGAGGTATGTATGAATGATTGTTCTTTTTCAGTGTCCAAGCAAATTTTATGGGATGTACTATGCAGGCTGACACTTCTTCAATTTATTAGGTCAATGAGGAAGAAGCTTACCTAGTTGATTTTTTTATGCTCACTCCTGGCAAGCGTCATATGTGTGCGTCTGTTTCAGAAAATTCCAGGTGGTAAGCACCGATTCTTCATTTGTTTTTTCGTTTTCAGTGCTGGTGTCGTAATCATGTTGCGTAGAGATAGGCAGCTCTGTTCTTGGGTATTTGGCAACTGGCATTATGATTGGTCCTTATGGTCTTTCGATGATCCGTAATGTGGACGCAGAAGTGGAGTTGTTTCTAGCTTTTCAACATTGGCCTTGAGGTTCTATTTGTAACTTGTGTGTGCCGTGCTTTTGCTTTTGAACTGTGTTTGGTGTTAGGGCCAATTTTTGTTGAAAGACTGAGTTTCATGAAGATTTGATTATTGGAAGATCAATACGAGAAAGCAAGAAGAGCGGAACACCAAGTCACATGCCCTCTCGTCACCTGAACGAAGACCAAATCAGTGCGTACGAATTTTGAATACAAGTGGAGGAGCTTTATAGTAATTTCATTATCCACGAGGAAAATAAGACTGAAGACAGAGAAGAAGATGTTTTGCATTTGATATGTTATTTTTCTTCAAGCTGGTGGTCTAGACATTACATGATGAATTTGACCTCTGTCAACAAGAAGGGGTGTTCTGTTGCATATTATGAACTTGATTTGGAATTGTTAATGTTCCTCTGGTTCTTGATATTACTTGAAAATAACTTAAGGGCAATCCAAAATAGCACAATGTTAAGTATTTGTTCCAAACATAACATATAAGTTTACTTCTCTAATAATAGCATACATTAAATTTTAAAGTAATTCAAAACCCTTTTCTAAGTATAGTAAATCTAAAACCCTAATTTGTAGAATGATAACTAAACATAATGTTTTAATTTTATTTGTAATTGAATTTAGGGTAAACAAGTGTTCTCACGTATGATTTATAATACTTTGAGAAACTAAATTTGATGTGAATTTGGGAAAACAAATGTGCTATTTTAGGGTATTTTCATAATTTAATGTGAAATGGAATTATACATGGATGATAGCTGTTTAAAGCATATATCCAAAAGCATGTAACCAACAATACTTACGAAATTATAACAAGTAGATGAAATTATACCTGCTACAACTAATATCACAATATCGTAGTAACCATAACCATATCGATGTGTTCTGATAGTCAAAGTCACCATAAAGGGCGTAGATGATTCTACGGTTATTTGTCATGAATATTGGTCTCGAAAATACCAATATATGGAAATGTTGATGAAGAAACTCGCTAATGCAACATAACTTTATTATCAAAATAAGATTAGTCTAGATATATTTTCTGTATTTTAGTAGGTTGACTTATTTTACATAAGATTAGTGTTTTCTAGAGTTTTGGCCACATAAGATAATTCTAAATCACATGATTGTGACATAATTATATGAAATCTCTTATTATGAATTATTTCTTTCTTAGAAAAAAAAATGAGTTTTTAAAATAGAAATTATAAAATTAAAAAAGTAAATTAAAAGATATAAAGAAGTAAAAAGTAAATAAAAATTAATCTTTTGAAAAACAAAATTTGACTTAAGAATTAGAATAATATGTTAAAAATAGATGTATAAGTCATATATTTTGATAATTAAGTGTAATGATTTCTTTTTTGTTGTTTTCAGGAAACCAAATGAAGGTGGTACATTTTTCATTTCCCAGTTGTCGCGGTAGATCCTAGCAGCATAAGAAAAAAAGTTTTTCTCAGCTCAAATATTTTAAAATTACAAAATAAAAAAGAAAAAAAGCTAAATACCGTTTCTTAAAATCTGTAAAGACATCATACCGTTAGGAAATAGGAACATAGGGTCAGGGAGTGTATAACCCAAAACAAAACTCTTCAACAGAAAATCTCATGATTACCAGGAAAAGTGTCAATCTTTATCACAATTCAGATCAGTTAACGTAAACATGAGAATCTTCAGAGTCGCATCAGTCTCACCGCGGATCTCCCCGTCGAGTCAAAACGTTTCTTCAAACATCGCCGGAGCTCTTCAAGAACACATCAACTCTCCGTCCCCAAAATCCGGGAAAAAGATCCACGCCAATATCATCAAATCCGGGTTTATACCAAATCTCAACATATCCATCAAACTACTAATCCTCCATTTAAAATGCGGCTCCCTGAGTTACGCACGCCTAGTGTTCGACGAATTACCCAAACCAACATTATCAGCTTACAACTACATGATCAGTGGCTACCTGAAGCACGGATTCGTCAAAGAATGTCTTCTCCTAGTCCAACGTATGGCTTACTCCGGCGAAAAAGCAGACGGATACACACTCTCCATGGTTCTTAAAGCATCAAGTACTAAACTTGCCTCGACGATGACGATTCTGCAGCGTAGCTTATGCAGGTTGGTCCATGCCCGGATTATAAAATGCGACGTTGAGCTAGATGATGTGTTGATCACTGCACTTGTGGATGCGTATGTCAAGACTGGGAAGCTGGAGTGTGCAAGAACTGTATTCGAAACGATGAAAGACGAGAACGTCGTTTGTTCTACATCGATGATCTCAGGTTACATGAACCAAGGCTTTGTCGAAGACGCTGAAGAGATTTTCAATGCGACCAGAGTAAAAGATATCGTGGTTTACAATGCTATGGTGGAAGGTTTCAGCAGATCAGCTGAAACTGCTAAGAGAGGAGTTGAAATGTATATCTCGTTGCAGCGAGTTGGTTTCCATCCGAATATCTCGTCTTTCGCTAGCGTGATTGGAGCGTGCTCTGTTTTGACGGCTCATGAGGTTGGTCAGCAAGTTCACGCTCAGGTTGTGAAGAGTGGAGTGTACACGCATATCAAAATGGGGAGCTCTTTGTTAGACATGTACGCGAAATGCGGAGGAATCGATGATGCGAGAAGAGTCTTTGACCAAATGGGAGAGAAGAACGTGTTTTCTTGGACTTCGATGATCGATGGATATGGTAAAAACGGAAATCCTGAGGAAGCACTCAAGCTCTTCGCTAGGATGAAGGAGTTTGACATCCAACCGAATGATGTGACCTTTCTTGGAGCTCTCTCTGCTTGTTCGCATTCTGGTTTGGTTGATAAAGGGTATGAGATATTTGAGAGTATGCAGAGAGATTACTCCATGAAACCGAAGATGGAACACTATGCTTGCATGGTTGATCTCATGGGACGCGCTGGAGATTTGCGTAAAGCTTTGGAGTTTGTTAGGGCCATGCCGGAGAGGCCTAACTCGGATGTTTGGGCTGCTCTTCTCAGTTCTTGTAGAGTGCATGGTGATGTGGACTTGGCGAGCATTGCTGCGAATGAGCTTTTCAAACTCAATGCTGACAAAAGACCCGGAGCTTATATAGCGTTGTCTAATGTTTTAGCCTCTGCTGGTAAATGGGAGAATGTGAGCGAGATTCGTCAGGTGATGAAAGCTAGAAAGATACCTAAAACCATTGGTCGTAGTTGGATCGGTGCCGAGAATGCTCAATGAAAGGTATTTTGAAGGTTGATTAATACAAACATTTGGCAAGGCTTTTCTAATTCATGCTCTTCAAATCAAGTACAGTGAGCTTGAAAACATTCGTTCTGTGTGATGGAAACCAAAAAGTTATACAAATGGTTGATTATTACTTCCGTGTTTTATTGTGAGTTTTATAGAGGTTACTTAAGAGAGCACAAAATCACCCTTGTGGAAGTTATCCATGGCTTCTTTGAACTCAGACATTGCGGATTCACGTAGATTTACCAAAACCTTAAAGCCACTCTCTTTCTTGCTACCAGCTGCAGCATCAGAAGAGTATGGCAAGAAGAAACATGGTTCCATGCTTCCGAGTAACTTGTTCGATAGTGGCAAAACCGTCACAGGTCCTCCCCATCCGAAATCCACCGTCGAATGCCCTAAGTATCGCCAATCCGTGAATCCAGTCACTCCTGTTTCATCCATCACAAAGCATGAAACTTTGTACTGATTTCTTCCTTAGTTTCGAAAACCAAATCAAGATATGTATTGTGTTTTACTTTACCTGAGCCAGCATTGATTCCATCTTTGTGATGCAGCTCTTGGAAGTCGACAAAGGACCGCACGTATTCGTCACTCGCGTTTGATTTGCTCTGTTTTATAAGCTCTGCTGTTTTCCAAATGGGCTGCTCCATGAGCTCTCCAGCTTTGAGCTGAGCATACATTGGCACACATCCGTTTCCCCAGTAGCCTTTAGGCAAAGGTGGATTCATCAATCTCCTTATGTTTATCGAATACACATACTTCACATTCTCTTCCTCCCCAATCTTCGCAGCTCTTACCCTGAAAGTTTGAAACTTTTTCTTAGTTTCAGATCAAAACATTTCAAGAAAGGAAAGCAGAGAGGTTTGCTTACTTCGCACGCCATATGTAAGCACCTAGGGCTTCGAATGTGGTGAAACTCAAACCAGATTTCTCGAGTAACAGAGCCTTGAACCGGTCCAAAGACTCGTCGGTCACGAGGAAGCACTCTCTTTTGACGTCTCCAATGGGTTGTGCGTAAGGATCGAAGTTCTTGTTCAGGGTCAAGAAGTCGCGAACCGGAGCTCCAACCCAAGGCTTGTCTCTTGGACCGAGGAGACCTTCTCTGTCCCAGACCGGTTCGACGGAGATCTGAGTCGCTCCGCGAGCTAATTCAGCCATGGCGTTGAAGAAGAGACTCGAGCCCAACCCGTCGCAGATCGCGTGGTGAATCGACGCTCCTAGAACCCAGCCACCGCACTGAAACGTCGTGATCTGGAGGATACAGGGATTGAGCATCCCTTCCTCCCGGGTCGGATCCGGTACCAACCCCTCCACGAAACCTGGATCGGGTCCATCCAGATACCCGAAGGACTCGAGCGTGCAGTTGACAGAAGCGTTGACTAGAGGGACGCTTTGACCTGCGGCGCAGTGAAGCTCGAAGCGGTTGTCAGACTCGGAGCGACGGAGAGAGCCGGCGAGTGGGTAGTAGTGGACGAGAGCGGTGGCGAGAGAGGCGGATACGACGTCGGAAGGGGTTTTTCCGGCGACGGAGGAAGAGGAGGAGTAGACGCGGAGGTAACGGAAGCTGACGTGGAGGTTGTTGTCGTTATCGAGATGAGAGAGAGAGAGTGTTTGGTCGTTGGAGAAGGGTAGGTGAGAAGGACGAACCAAGGCTATTTCTGTAATTTCAAGTTTCGCCATGCCTAATAATAATATTTTGGAGCCTCCTGGATTTGATTGTGGTATGGTCTTTTGTGGTCAAGTTTATAAATCAATTAAAAGGCAAAATCAATGCGTTGAGGACAGCTCACGAATCAAGCCAACTACCAAACAGCCAAGTTCCATGACCAATAATCTCACCTACAACAGTTTCAGTTTTGTAGTTTCTCTCAGACTTACTCATACCAAATCATAGATGCTTCTATTGAAATTTGGTTGGTCATACTTGTCTTCACTACTCTTCTCCTCCACAAGATTGGTTTTTCTTATCGTGAGAATCTAAGGCAAATGGGCCGTTTATTAATATTGTTAAGTAAACAAATTTTTCATTATAGGTAGAGTGTGAGAATCGAATCCACCACCTCTAACCTAAGTGAAACCAGTGATTAGGGCCGGCCCTGAAAATTTTGGGGACTATAAACAGTTTAGTGGGATTTTAAAAATTTGGGGACCAAAAATCAATTTCTAAAAAAATTGAAGGCCGAAACTAAGATAAAAATCCCTCTGAAAATGGGGCCAAAACAATTGTTTCTTTCCACTGCTCTAAGGGTCGACCCAGCCAGTGATAACCATTCTTTCTAGTGATATTTTTTTGTAAAATTTAGGACCGAAATCTGATAAGATTTATTTGGTAAAATTATGAACCCAAGCTTGTTTTACTTGAGCTCAGAACCGGCTCTAATTATCTTATTATATAAAGCTGGATGAGCACAACATGGTTGCGACACGTATAATTTTTATAAAATATAGGATTGCGACATGTGTCATTTTTAATGTTACGTCCGTTAAGATCGTGACACATGTCTTGGTAAAAAGGAAAAAAAAAATTAAAGAGAAAAATTTTAATCTTTTATAATAAAAACGAAAATTTATATAATAAATTGAAAATAATGTAATAAAAAATACCTATTAGTACATCAACAGGTATGTAAACTAAATATTCTAAAATTGTATGGAATAGGTTACATAAATCCCTATTTTAAAAAATCCTATTAGTATATGAAATAGGTATGTAAACTAAATATCATAAAACTGTATGAAATTGGTTACATGAACCCCTATAAAAAGAGAGCTACTGTATTCTCCTTTTCTCATTCACACTCATCAAAGCAAATTTCAGCAAATCTCTTTGATTTTCTTTCTCTGATTTTAAAATTATGTCTTTGAAAGTTCAAGAGAACAATGGAGATTATTTGACTCTAGGTCAATTGGATCGAAATCAAAATTATCGCCGTACTATAATACATGTTATTTGAAAGAGAGAAGCTAAAAATCCTAAAGAAAATAATATTCTTATGGAAGTTGAACTTCTATTACTTGATGAAATAGTTAGTAACATCTTATTATATTGATATAGATAATCTTATTATAACATTGATTAACATTAAAGTTTTACTTTTGTTTGAAACATTAAAAGTGACACATGGATTAGAATATTTAACTCTAGATCAGTTGGATCCAAATCAAAATTATTGTTGCTACTTGTGTCTAATATTTTGAAAACAAGTGTTAACACAAGAAAATTGGAAAAATGTAGAAAATAAATAAATAAATAAACTAACAAAACAATTAGAAAACAACTAACTAATAATAGAAAGGAAATTTTATAATGGCCTGAGTCAAAAACAAAACTGAAAAAAAAAATATAAATAGAAAACTAATAAAAGAATTATCAAGCAACTAACTAATATTAAAAGGAAAAAATTATAATAACTGATATTCTAATTTTAATAGTTTATTTTTTTTGTTAGGTAAAAAAATATTAAAAAAAAAAGATTTCATCAACCTAAATCTCTTCAATAAAATAATAAAATTTTCAAGAATTAATCAATCAATCGCACTTATACATGTATAAGTCTTTCAATTTTAGATAAAAGTAAAAAGATAACAAATTAATTCATTTTTTGTATCATGAATTTAGAAAATATGTCATTTATAATAAAAATGTAAAAATATTACCAATATAATATTATTTAGAGGTCTTTTATCCGAGTTTTAATATTAATCTACTTATTTTTAGTGTCAAATTTATTTAATATTTTTCTATGATTTATTTCAAAAATTGTATAATAAACCCGCGTATACGCGGGGCCTAATCTAGTAGCTTATATTTCTGAGTAAGTGTTTGTTGAAAATGCATGAAATAGATATGAATGAAGGAAACTATAAGTTACTGTATTAGGTGAATCTTTAACAAAAGAGTTTTGTTAACTCTAGAACTATCTATATTGTAATGGTGGAACTAAGTGATTTTGGTTCAGTTAGTTCTGTGTTAAGGATGGAGAGGTTGTTGCCTTGTTGGTCAATTCAGACTAGAATTTTAAGCTGGTACCACTATCACAATTAATCCGAGTAATATTTTCCTTTTAAAAAGAAACAAAATGGGATGCAAATTCGATTGGATCAGTATGTTCATGTTCATGCTACAGTTTGGTTGATTCCTGAGATTGAATCTAAATGGAATTGCCATCGAATGTGAGATTTCTTTTTAAAAAATGTCGTAGAGCCTATGATGATGCTACAAGTGGATAGGGATATAACTAAATAAAGAAAAAAAATTACCTTGGCACACAAACCAAGGCATATAAAAGGAGCATGTTTGGTTTTGAATGGCACCGCGCGCAGACAAAACTTTTGTGAATCCCTATGCTATGAATTTAGTTAGTGATACAGATTCTTCGATATATGGCACGTACCGTTGTCTCTTGATAATACGTAGGCCGGTTTTGACTTTTGATTGTATAGGACTTTCAAATTCGTTTCTAAATAATTTCTGCTACACCATAAAGAAGATAATCAAACATGCATTTTTTTTGTTTAATCACATGATTTGCAAATGTTTAAATGTGTCTAAACCCGGGTTAAGGTGATTAATAAAATGGAAAATCGTGATCTACAAAATTCACATTCCCTGATCTGCAAATCAAATTGCATATATAGTGTAAAAACGTTAATAAACACACTTGGCCAAAGATACGTTCACCATTAGTTCGTCTTATATCATAGTCAAAATTCATCATCTGATTTACAAGTTGCATGCTGCCAAATCGTCAATATTTAAATAAATATCAATTTTTTTTTAAAGTAACTAAAAGAGTAAAAGAAAAGAAAAGAGGGAATCTTTTATTATCTTTTCACGATTTCTGCATCGAATATCCAATTTTGTAATGGAGCATGCAACTGGTCTGGACGTTTCTGAAGTCACTTCAATTTCCACCAATACCCAACTGACACTCACTACTACTCAGTAATAAAAACGAAAAACAATAAGTGTCCCATCTCTTCATTATTTAGCGGTCGAATAAGATTACTAGAAACTGAGTAACAGAGAAGACGACGAAGGCTCTTCCCATCATGGCTTCTCCATTGAAGAAGCTAACCTCAAGCTTTCTTCTTATCTTATCCTTTTTCATCGTCGCTTTTGCCTCGTCAGAATCTCGTTGTCGGCGTTATAAGTCTATCATCAGCTTCGGTGATTCCATCGCCGACACCGGAAACTATCTCCGTCTCTCCGGCACCAATCATCTTCCTCAAGCCGCATTTCTCCCCTATGGCGAAACCTTCTTCCACCCTCCCTCCGGCCGTTACTCCGACGGCCGCCTCATCATCGATTTCATTGGTACCTAATTTTTCCTCTCTTCTTATCAGACATTTAGGTCAAAAACCGTTGTTATCCTCTGCTTTAGGGCTTTCTTGCTCATTCCGCAAGTTACAGAAAACCCTAATTGCTCCTGAGTAATTGTAATGCTGTGTTCTCATTTGGGTATTTTCCAACAGCCGAATTCTTGGGACTACCATACATTCCGCCGTACTTTGGATCTCAAAACGTGAGCTTCGATCAAGGGATCAATTTCGCCGTGTATGGAGCAACCGCATTGGACCGGACGTTTCTTGTGGAAAGAGGAATTGAATCTGATTTCACCAATGTTAGTTTGAGTGTTCAGCTTAACATGTTCAAGCAGATTTTACCAAACCTCTGCGCCTCGTCTTCTCATGGTTAGAAACTTAAAGCCTTGTTCTCTTCCATATCTATAATATTACCAAAGACGGCTGGGTTTAGTTTGGTTTGGTTTTTATTTTCCCGGTTTAGATTGCAGAGAGATGCTTGGTGAGTCGCTGATACTCATGGGAGAGATTGGAGGGAATGACTATAATTATCCTTTCTTCGAAGGCAAAAGTATCAACGAAGTCAAAGAGCTAACTCCTCTTATAATCAAAGCTATTTCTTCTGCAATTGTGGTAACAAATCCTTACATTTTCCAAATTTCCATCATATGTTTGTTTTATTATTTTAACAAGTTAAAGCAACAAAAAAAACTACAGGATTTGATCGATTTAGGTGGCAAGACATTTCTGGTACCCGGAAACTTCCCAATAGGATGTTCCACGGCGTATCTTACTCTATTTCATACCGTGGAAGAAGAAGAACTCGACCCTTTCACAGGTTGTCTCTCATGGCTCAACAAATTTGCCTCTAACCACGATGAACAGCTCAAGGCAGAAATCAAACGACTCCAAAAACTCTACCCTCACGTCAACATTATTTTCGCTGACTACTACAACTCCTTATACAGATTTTTCCAAGATCCAGCCAGATACGGTTCGTGCGCCTTAAAAAACTCTGTTTACTTGACCCTCACGGTTTGTATCCCTTACCGATGTTTTTGTGGTACCTATTATTAGGGTATAAGAAGAGACCTTTGGCTGCTTGTTGTGGAATCGGAGGTAAATACAACTTCACTATTAACCAAGAGTGTGGTAACAGAGGAGTTAGCTCTTGTCAAAATCCTAGTGAGTATGTGAATTGGGACGGTTATCATTTAACCGAAGCAACATACCGGAAGATGGCTCAGGGTTTACTCAACGGTCCTTATTCAGCTCCTGCATTTGACTGGTCCTGCCTTGGCTCTGGATCTGTGGATAAAGAATATTCTTTCAGCAGTTAAGTTTCATTTGTTGATGGAACATATAAAAAAAGGATGAACTAAAATATGTAGTGATGATGATGATTAACAAGTTGTTGGCACAATAAAACCAAAGTTTTAACTCAACTACTCCAAGATCCAAGTAGTACTTATTCAACACTTCAATTGGAAAGATGGTTTAGTGTTACCTTTATTTTGGTATCAAGTGGACTTTGGCCTGACGTCTCTCGATCGTATTCTTTAACCTAGGCAAGTATAACTCAAAGAAATTAAGACATATTTTTAATATATTCTCACAAGAGAAATGCAAAAACAAAAAACACAGGAAACAAGTTTGTTAAAATAAACTCTAATAACCTCACCATATTTAAAATTTTGCCCATCCTCGAGCAAATCCGTAATATATTAAGTTGAATGACAATACAAAGGGTCAAAAAAAAAGAAAGATAAACAATAAACCAGGTGCGAGTATTTAATTTAATTTGGGTGGTTAACATTTAGAAAAGAAAAATTAAGTGGAATTCGTTCCACATGGATAAGTGTTGTTTTATAAAGTTTGGTACGTTTCGGAAGATGTCGCAAATTCCCGATGTTCTTGCGGAAATCCGCACATAATTAATTTTACAAGTTTCAAAAAATGTGAGATGGTGTTTTAAGCTCAATTGTTTGAAATGCATGAATCTAGCTGTCGTTATAGTAAGTTAGTAACAGATAAGATCCAATAATTAATGCCTGGGCTCTGCAATCTGCATTATTTAATCTAGTGGGCGAAACACGTTTATAAAAACTGAGGACGAGAGACAATGACGACTCGTCTCTACTCTCTAGTTCCATGGCTTCTCCACTGAAGAAGCTCATCTCAAGTTTTCTACTGATACTATCCTCCTTCACCATCATCGTTGCCTCATCAAACCCACCACCATGTCGGCGTTATAAATCGATCATCAGCTTTGGTGACTCCATCGCAGACACCGGAAATTACATTCATCTCGCAAACGTGAACCCTCCTCCTCAAGCTGCCTTTCTTCCTTATGGCGAAACCTTCTTTCATTCTCCATCCGGCCGTTACTCCGACGGCCGCCTCATCATAGATTTCATCGGTACCTAATTTTCATCTCTTAAATTAAAGCAAAAATAAAATAATAAATTTATTTTTTTCCTCTGCTTTGGTTCTTTCTTGCTTGAACAGCAAGTTACAAACCCTACTTCCTCCAGAGTTTTGTAATATTGTCTTACTATTTGGACAGCCGAGTTCTTGGGACTACCTTACGTGCCGCCTTACTTCGGATCCAAAAATGTGAGCTTCGATCAAGGAATCAATTTCGCTGTCTATGGAGCAACTGCATTGGATCGTGCATTTCTTTTGGAAAAAGGAATTACATCTGATTTCACAAATGTTAGTTTAAGTGTTCAACTTAACATCTTCAAGCAGATTTTACCAAACCTCTGCGCCTCAACTTCTCGTGGTTAGAAACTTATATAGCATTGTTCTCTCCCATATCTATGATGATGAATTGAGCTTACTTACTTCTCAAGGTTTTCTTTTGTTCGGCTTTAGATTGCAGAGAGATGCTTGGAGACTCACTGATACTCATGGGAGAGATTGGAGGCAACGACTTTAATTACCCATTCTTTGAAGGCAAAAGTCTCAATGATATCAGAGAACTTGTTCCTCTAGTCATCAAAGCTATATCTTCTGCTATCGTGGTAACAAATATTTTACATTTCCCCCACCCAAGAGGCCAAGAATATCACATGCATGTGTGTTTCATAGTTTAACAAACTAGGTTACAAAACTACAGGATTTGATTGATTTGGGAGGGAAAACATTTCTTGTGCCTGGAAACTTCCCACCTGGATGTTCCACGGCGTATCTAACTCTATTTCAGACCGATAAAGAAGAAGAACACGATCCTGTCACCGGTTGTCTCCCATGGCTCAACGAATTCGGAGAGCAGCAAAATGAACAGCTTAATGGAGAACTCCAACGACTCCGAAAGCTCTACCCTCATGTCAACATCATTTACGCCGACTATTACAACTCTATGTACCCGTTTTTCCAAGAACCAGTCAAATACGGTTCGTAAGCCTTTATAACTTTGTTCTTGACCCTTACGGTTTGATTCTTTAACCGGTGTTTATATGGATTCTTTTTTTAGGGTTTAAGAGACCTTTGGCTGCTTGTTGTGGAATCGGAGGTAAATACAACTTCACTATTAACCAAGAGTGTGGTAACAGAGGAGTTAGCTCTTGTCAAAATCCTAGTGAGTATGTGAATTGGGACGGTTATCATTTAACCGAAGCAACGTACCGGAAGATGGCTCATGGTATACTCAACGGTCCTTACGCAATTCCTGCTTTCGACTGGTCTTGCCTTAGCTCTGGATCAGTGGATAATCAGTATTCCTTGAGTGGTTAAATTCACTTATTTATCCAAAAAAATAAAATAAGAAGAGAAATATGTGTTGATGATGATGATGATGATGATGATGATGATTAATAAATAATAAGACCAGGCTTTAGCACACACAAATTAACCAAAAACTAATACATAAATTAGAACACATAAGGCGACCGTTGGAGTATAAACTTCTTTTCAAAAGAAAAATTGAACCATTGCATATTTTCGACGTGAATTACATACTGTAATTTTAAATTTATGAATTTCTTTATGCCTTTTTTTTTGTTCTTTTCCATATTTGTATTATTTTATTGCACATAAAGACTGACTCCATTCAAAATGGTGAGTGAGATCCACCCGAGAGGGACCGACCATTCCATTTTACTACTTTTTGTTATGGGGATGCTAAATCTTATATATAATTAGGGAGTTGCTCTCTCCTCCTAAGCCATCCACATCAGCATAATTTTATACAGATAATGGATCCCACATTTAATCCAAAATTATAAAACAAAAGAATGAAAATAATAAATGACAAACATTAAAACTAAAATTAGTCAATCAATGAATTTACACAGTTTACTGTTATTATATTTCCTTAAATAAATTATATTATTTACCAAAAATCCTAAAATATATTTCACAAAATAAAATATTAAAAATATTAGAAAATTAATAGATATTATATGATTTATGAAAGTTACAAAACATTTTTTACATAACTTGATAATTCAAAATATATAAAAATAACTACAAATAAGAAAAAAATTAACATGTTTAAAATAATATATGAAACAACATAGATTTTATAAGAATTAAAAATTAATAAGAATAGAAAAATTATAAGTTTATTTGTAACTGTATATAAAAAAATTAAAAAGGTTTATAATAGAGATAAAAAGATTCATGTCAGACGAAAAATGGCAAATAACACGGCTCAAAAGGTGACTGAGGCGGTGGTTGAATGTAGTTAAGAGGCGGACATGGCTCAAGATGATGTTAATAAGAATTTTGACAAGTTTAGAAAATCAGAAGGTCGATGGTGACTAGAGTAAGTTCTAAGTTCACTAAACAACCGTTTTTGATACTAAAAATATAATAAATATTCACGCAAATACTAACAAATTCTAGAAATAGTTGCCAAATCTTTGGAAAAATTAGAAGACCATTTAAAATAAACATAACGGGAGTATCTATTACAGATCTTCAGTATTATACAGAAAATATCATTTAAAGTAAACATAAGTCTCTATTACAAATCGTGGGTATTATAGAGAATAACAAAAAACAATATAATATAATTTTAGAAATATATAAAGGATGATTAACCGAAAAACAACTCCGCGCTTGCGCAGGGGTATAATCTGTAGTAAAATACAACAATTGCCTTACCTCTTCGTTATTTAATGGTAAAAAAATATTATAAAAATTGAGTAACAGAGACGCCGAGAACTCCTCCTCTTTCCATGGCTTCTCCATTGAAGAAGCTCATCTCAAGCTTTCTACTAATCTTTTCCTTTTCTACTGTCGTTGTTGCCTCATATGAATCTCGGTGTCGGCAATATAAATCTATCATCAGCTTCGGTGATTCCAACGCTGACACCGGAAATTTTCTCCGTATCTCGACGGCAATCATCTTCCTCAATCCGCCTTTCTTCCTTACGGCGAAACGTTCTTCCACCATCCTCCGGCCGTTACTCCGACGGTCGCCTTATCATCGACTTCGTCGGTTCCGTACCTAATTTCCTTTTCTTTCCATTAGAGATTTTGGCGTTAAACCACTTGTTCTCTGATTAATTAGGTCTTGCTTACCTGCACAGCAAGTTACAAAAACCCCTAATTGCTCTTGATTTTTTTTTTTGTAATGTTGAGTTCGTTTCTGGATTCTGTAACAGCCGAATTCTTAAGACTACCGTACGTACCGCCTTACTTCGGATCCCATAACGTAAGCTTCGATGAAGGGATCATTTCGCGGTCTATGGAGCAACCGCATTGGATCGAACGTTTCTTGTGGAACAAGGAATTGGATCTGATTTCACCAATGTTAATTTGAGTGTTCAGCTTAACATGTTCAAACAGATTTTACCAAACCTCTGCGCCTCGTCTTCTCGTGGTTAGAAACTTAGCCATGACAATGACATATTCTTTTCCATATCGAGAGAACGGTTTGGTTTGGTTTGGTTTTTATTTTCCCGGTTTAGATTGCAGAGAGATGCTTGGAGAGTCGCTGATACTCATGGGAGAGATTGGAGTGAACGACTATACCTACGCGTTTTTCGAAGGAAAAAGCATCGATGAGATCAAAGAGCTAATTCCACTTATAATCAACGCCATATCTTCTGCAATTGTGGTAACACATGTTTTACATTTTCCCACACAAGAAAATCACATGTGTGTTTTATACTTTTAACTTGTTAAACAAGAAAACTACAGGATTTAGTAGGTTTGGGAGGCAAAACATTTATGGCGCCCGGAACCGTTCCGCTTGGATGTTTCACGGCGTATCTTACTCTATTTCAAACCGTGGTAGAAGAAGAATACGACCCTGTCACAGGTTGTCTTACATGGCTCAATGAATTCAGTGAGCACTACAACAAACATCTCAAGATAGAACTCAATCGACTCCAAAAGTTCTACCCTCATGTCAACATCATTTACGCCGACTACTACAACTCTATGTACCGGTTTTTCCAAGAACCAGCCAAATACGGTCCGTGGGCATTTAGAAACTCTGTCCTTGACCCTTACGGTTTGATTCTTTAACCGGTGTTTACATGGATCCTGTTTTTAGGGTTTAAGAAGAGACCTTTGGCTGCTTGTTGTGGAGTCGGAGGTCAATACAATTTCACAGTTAATGAAGAGTGTGGAAAAAGAGGAGTTAGCTATTGTCAAAATCCTACTGAGTATGTGAATTGGGACGGTTATCATTTAACCGAAGCCACGCACCAGAAGATGGCTCATGGTTTACTCAATGGTCCTTATGCAACTCCTGCATTCGACTGGTCTTGCTCTGGTTCAGTGGATAAAGAGTATTCTTTCAGCAGTTAAAATTCAATTTTTCTTTTTTTGTGAAACAATACGAAGAAATAATGTGGTGATGATGATGATGATGATGATGATAGATTAATAAGAACAGGTTGCTTTGTACAGCAGATTAATGATGATAATCTCCATTAACTATTTAGCCCATAATTAAAGTTTTCATGATACTGAATATATTAGAGATATCTTGGTGAGCAAGGCGAACCAAGTATTATGGACCACTGAAGCCCGTTTATGAAGTGAAGTCCGTGAAGCCAAACCGAATAATATTCTAGATAAATCCTATTGTGATAAAGATTAGGAAGATTTACATTATTTGGTGTTATCATTATGTTAATGTTAAACACTATATATATATATGTGTCCTATGATCTTGTATCAATAACACAATTCAATAACATATTCTCCTTCTATAATATTTGTCATGGTATCAGAGCAGACGATCTTTGAAGATCTAAGTTAAAGCTTCCGCATTAGTTTAGGTAGTTACGATGGATACGGTAACCATCATAGGTGAAGACGAGGAGGGAGACAGTGATGATGAAGATGACAATCGCTAGGTCTCATGATTAGTTTATTCTTTCTCTTAAGTTAGGTTTTGGTGTTCGTGTTTTCCATTAGCATGATTTTTTTAATTGAAAAGTCTAGGAATTTGATATTTTATTCTTAGTTTATGTTTTTGATTATGGGTTCTGGTTTTATTGCTTACGATTTATGGTTTTCTTTTAATTTATTTGTTTGATACAAGAGTTGGAGAGTTATTAGGATAATCTTTGATTAAGGGTTTGTTGTTTTCACGGGCTATTAGTTATATTTTTTTGAGATTGATTCTTAAGTTTAGAATTTCTCAAGGTTTTTGATTTCTCCTATTATGGGGGAGTTTGGTTATGAGTTTAGGGATTTTTGTTGGATCGCTCATGTTTTTAGGTCATATTTCTTTAGTCCAATTTATGGGCTGTCCGAGACAAGGACGTTTATTTGTGGAATTGCAGGATTTTGCTTCCACGGGATGTTATTATTCCCTTTCTTTCAAGACCAAAGACGAGCATGTTCCATCCCTATTGACTTGTATTGCCATCCTCGACATGATTGTCCACGACATAGGTGTTCCGCATTGTGACTGCAGATTTTGCGTTTCGCGTCCACCTTTGTCGTGCGGGGGAGTATTGGAGATATCTTGGTGAGCAAGGCGAACCAAGTATTGTGGGCCATTGAAGCCCGTTTATGAAGTGAAGCCCGTGAAGCCAAACCGAAGAATATTCTAGAGAAATCCTATTGTGATAAGGATTAGGAAGATTTACATTATTTGGTGTTATCATTATGTTAATGTTAACCTATATATATGTGTCCTATGCTCATGCTTAAGGAAGAGAGAGCGATGAGCTTGACGAGTGCTCCAAAGCTTGTTTCTGCCAACAACAGTCTTCACGAACTACTCTTGCTTGTATGAAGCCACTATGTATCCAATCGTCAATCCCAATACAATTCCAGGTGCAAACCCTATCCCTGCTGCTATCCAACACAACTTTTCCTCCTCTTCTTCTTCTTCTTCTTCTTCTGATGATGATTCTATAATTTCAGATTCACGGATATCTCCACAAATATCCTTAAGCGAAGCACCAAAAAGTCCTGTGTTTCCCTCGTAGGAAGAGCAATTCTGTCGTTGAAACTGTGTACCTTGCGGTATCGGACCCACGAGCTCATTATGTGAAACGTTTATCCATCCAAGAGAAGAGAGGTCTCCAAGCTTCGGAGGTATCTCACCTGAAAGCTTGTTCTGCGACACGTCTAGTGATTCAAGCGCAGTAAGGTTTGCCAAAGATGATGGAATGTGACCAGTGAAAGCATTTCTTGAAAGATTGAGGACATGAAGCTCCTTCAACAGACCTATAGATTCAGGAACTTGTCCATGGATTCTGTTTCCTGAAAAATCAATGGCCGTGTATATTGTGAGGATACGTTGCATCGCCATCGACACTCCTTTGTTCATCAAGACAACAGAAGTGTAGTAGCCGTAGTCATGAAAATCCCCAATGTAGCTCACCTGCTGCGTATAATCATCATCTTTCTTCGACGTTATCGCGGTCCAGTTCATGAAGTAATCAGACGGCAAGGCACCGGAGAAGTCGTTATGTGAAACATCAATGATCTTCAACTGAGGAAATCCAAACCAAACCCCATTAACGGAGGAGTCATGATGATGTAACATGCCGTGGAGCTTGTTAGACCGGAGGACAAGAACTTGTAGCTTCTGCAAAGAACTCAAGTGGAACGGAAACGTATCGTTGATCTCGTTGCTTTCCACGTTTAGAACTTCCAGAGCAGAACAAAGAGTAAGAGATTCAGGGAGTTTTCCGTGTAGACGGTTGTGACTGACGTCGATGGACCTTAACCTCTCGGCGTTGGTAAATATATCAGGAAGACTTCCGGTGAGGCTGTTGCTATGAAGGTTTAGATCCGAAATAGAAGTCATCATTTGAGTCTCTAAACACCGAGGAATGGAGCCGTTGAAGTTGTTGTTGGACAGGTCTAGGATTGAAGGAGAGGTTAGTTCACACACCGATGGAGGTATCTCTCCAGTGAAGTTGTTCTTAGAGGCAAACAAGTATCTGATAACTGTAGATGGGAGGAAGAGGGGTCCTTGGAAAGCATTTGAGCTTAGATCCAACACATCGATCTGACTTCCAGGTAAAGGGTTTAAAGATCCGTTGAAACCGCTTAAGGAGTTGCTAGAAAGAAACAAAACTTCCAAACCTTGTAGCCTCCACAACCAGTTTGGCACTTGACCTTGGATCTTGTTGTTGGAAATGTCTAGTGTCTGTAGGTTTGCTTGGTCTCTCAAGAACTCAGGGAACTCAGTGATGTTGCAGCCTGACAAATATAGGTATTTCAAATGTGATGGAAACTCCGAACCAGAAGTGATGTTTGTTGTTGAAAGAGGGATGCCAGAGAGACCTAGTGCTGATAGCTGTTTGAGAGAAGAGAAGACACTCAAGTCAACTGGACTGACACTGTAGTTGTTTTCCGATGGAAGATGGAATCTTGCCGGAGAAGTTGGATTCTTGAATGGTCAAAGAAGTTAAGTGTTTGAGTTTTCCGATGGAGTCAGGTATGTTACCTGAAAAAGAAGTTCCCACAAGGCTCAAGATTTGCAAAGAGTTGTTTATGAGGAAATCAGGAAGATAGCCTCTAAGATTTGGATTGTGATCCAATCTAATGGACTCTAAGTTTGGTATCAGAAAAACACTGTTTGGAAACTCTCCAAACATATTGCAACCCTCGAGACGTAGGGATCTTAGAGACCACATGGAAGAAACCTCGTGAGGGATTTCGAAAGAAATGTTCACTCCGCTCATATCCAAAGCTCTAAGGCTCCTCAAGTTTTTAGCAAGGAGACGGAAGAACAAGGGGCTCTCAATGGCCAACAAACTTGGAGAGAATGAAAAAGAAGAAGAAAGATCGAGAGAGACCAAACTGGTAAGTTGAAGAATCTCTGTTGGGATTTGACCTGTCAATGAAGTCTGAGAGAGATTTAGTCTTTGTAAACTCACGAGTTTATGAAACTTAGCTGGGAATGGTGAGAAAGTGAAGTTGTTGTAAGCAAGATTCAGAGTTTGGAGATGTTGCAGTCTAAAAAGACTAGTGTTTGGTTCGAGCCGGCCATGAAGACAACTGCAACTAAGGTCTAGACCGATCACTTTCCCCGAGCTGGTATCGCACGTGACACCTTCCCAGTTACAACAGTCGCTGTTGGTGTTTGTCCATGAGTCAGTCTTGGGATAAGAAGTGACGTTCATCGGATAACCTTCAAAATCAAGAACCTCATCAGGTTTTTGAATCTTGAGCTCGTTCTTGAAATCGAGAAGCGTATCTCTTTGATCTTGATGACACAGGTCAGGTGTAAGAGAAGCAAAAGTGTTGAAGAGATTTAGAATGGAGAAGAGAAGAAGAACAATGGTGCGAAGAAAGAAGCTCAGTGATGAGTAGTATGAGCCTATCATACTTTTTTTTTGTTATTTCCTTAGTGGAGATGTCGTCTCTCTTTATAAAAATGTTTCGTATCTGTCGAAATATTTAATTTCAATATTTTTCAGCACGTTTGATTCTCTTACACCGGAATTTTAAAATATGACGTTGATTATTTGTCAAAAGAACAACGTCTCCATGATTTGCTTTCTGTTTCTCCAATAGAATAACAATAATAAGTAATTATGCAGTGTCGAGCGAAACTCAAATGGTATTGGTAGGTGAAGTTAGATAAACGTTCCACTTGCTAATTCTTATATAATTTATTTGTCATCGTAGACAAGACAACGTTCATGAATGTTAAATCCAATACAGATTTGGATTGTTCTTAAGATTTGAAATTAAAAAACAAGGTGTACATGTGAACAGTATAGGGTTTTGTGTCCTCGATAAGAGTCATATTCAGTAGTTTGATAATTATAGCTGAGAGTTGTTAGAGACAAAAGCTTATACCAGTTTATAGTATATCCATCTTCTCCATAAGGCTCAAAGGTAGAGAAGTTGGTTGTTCTGGCTCACATGCATATAAGTTGTGTAATACAGATATCAGAGTTGTTCCCAGAGATATAAAGCCCGTAAGCGGTAAACAAAAAAGGCCCGATTAACTATTATCATCTCAAATACATATATTAAGGAATTGTTTGTGGTACTAAAACATTATATTTTCTTATATTAACATTTTTTTGCAATAAGTTTTGCTTCTTCATTGTAGCAACAATTAATTATCTATAAATTTATAAAACCATAATACATGCTAAAATTTTTAAATATATATTATAATTTATAAAACTATAATATATTTTAAAATCGTACTTTCTTAAAGTTAATAAATTAGCTGATTATTTTAGTTTTGGCTCCTCTAAATCACAAATCAAACTAAATTCAATATAAGATAAAAACAGAACTATCTATCTTATTATATAAAGTTGGATGCGCACAACGTGGTTGCGACACGTAGGATTTTTATAAAATATAGGATTGTGACATGTGTCACTTTTAATGTTATGTCTGTTAAAATCGTGACACATGTCTTGGGAAAAAGAAAAAAAAAATTAAAGGTCTAATTTTAATCTTTTATATTAAAAACGAAAAATTATATAATAAGATTGAAAATAATGTATGTCTTGGGAAAAAGGAAAAAAAGTTTAAGAGAAAATTTTAATATTTTCTAATAAAAACGAAAATTTATATAATAAATTGAAAATAATGTAATAAAGTATACCTATTAGTACATGGAATACTAAATATCCTAAGACTGTATGAAATAGGTTACATAAACCCTATTTTAAAAATTCTTATTAGTACATGGAATAGGTATGTAAACTAAATATCATAAAACTGTATGAAATTGGTTATATGAACCCCCTATAAAAAAGAGAGCTATTGTATTCTCTTTTTCTCATCCACAAACTCATCAAAGCAAATTCAGCAAATCTCTTTGATTCTCTTTCTCTAATTTTAAAATCGTCTTTGAAAGTTCAAGAGAACAGTGAAGATTATTTGACTCTAGGTCAACTGGATCGAAATCGAAATTATCGCCGTACTATATATGTGTTATTCGAAAGTGGGAAGCTAGAAATCCGAAAGAAAATAATATTCTTATTAGGATTAAGATAATTTCTAATTTTGTAATTGCCACTTCTCTAATTTCCTTATTGCATAGTGATTCCTTACCATTAGGAATACAACGATTTTATTCATTTTACTATTAGAAATACGATGATTTAAAATAAAAGTTCTTCTCTAATTTCCTTATTGCATAGTGATTCCTTACCATTAGGAATACAATGATTTTATTCATTTTACTATTAGGAATACGATGATCTAAAATAAAAGTTGATCCTATAAGCCTCTAAAAGTGTTCAACTAAGATTAAAGAAACTGAATTTCATTGGTCCACATAATCACTTTAAAAGAATTTCTTTTTTTAGTTGTTATTATGATATTTCTTTAACACTTAATTTCATTTTTCTTCATACTAAAGTGTTTAAAAAATAGAGTTTTTATTTCTAATGACAGAAAAAGGAAATAAAAATTCAATTTGATTGGTCCACATAAGCACCTTAAAAGAATTTTCTTTTTAATTGTTATTATGATATTTCCTTAATACTTAATTCTAATTTTAATTACTTCATATGAAATATATAATCTTTAAATTACTTCATTATATATATTTTTTTAAATTTCGTTTCTCTTAATATAAAATATTTAATATTTAAAATTATATATTGTTAATATGTTACATGTTTATTTTATTATTTTGAACAAAATATGTTACTAATTAGTTTGCTTTTTAAAAAAAAAGTTATATGTAAATATATAGAAATAGAAACAAAAGAAAATTTATATTGTATATAAGCATCAACATATTATTATTTTGTTGATTTATATGCATCATATTATATATTAAAATGGAAATAATATTGTGTTGACAATACGTTGAAAATAAAAACTTAACTATCTTACAGTTTTTGGAAAGCTATTGAATAACCAGAAAATGGAGCATGAGTTCAAAAACATGACAAAACAAGATCTAACTAAGTTACAATAAATCGACTAGGAGTAATACTTATCCTTTAGGTCTTTATCTAAAGAAACTAATATTACTTAATGGCAACAAAATTCAACAAACCAACAATTATCGATGACTAAACATTATATATCTATAGAAGAAACCAAAAATTAAAGGTTGGAATAAGTATATGATAGATCCAAATTTAAATAGGACTCAAAACAAAACAAAAGGATTAACGGCAAATTGAGTTTATATAGTACCTCACAGAAATATGATTCTTCAGTGAAACATGGAGCTAACTAAGTTTGATTAGTGGATGTTTGGAAATTATAAGAAAGATTTGGAGTTTAGAGAATTTGGTATGAATTGTGAGCTTCAATGACATGAAATTGTTGTGAAACAATAATTGGTAGTATGTATATAATTAAAGCAGAGGAGAGGTAGGGTGATAATAGGAATGTAGAGATTTGGAATTTCGACAAAACTGGTTTACACATGAGATTTAAATTTAAGGTATTTGAAAAATAATATGGCAAAAGAGAACTAAACCCAAAATGTGACAAAACCGGCTAGGCTTTTGAACCGAAAATTTGAGATTCGGCTATATATACTCAATTGAAACAATAGGACAACAAACTTTAGAGATTAATGTAACTTCTCCAATGATTGAGCCTCTATTCCTTACGAGAAAATGTGAGAAAGGTTTGCAATATGTTTTTAATAAGAAATTATCACAATACAATTCATTTTATTATTGTGACCAACTATACAAGAATTAAATTGATTTGGTAAAATTAAAAATATAAAGAAATTAAATAATAAGAAACTATAATTATAAAATAAAATATTAAAAATAAAAAAAAAACTGTAAAGATTTTGTATCAATGAACTTTTTAAAAAATTGAAAATTATAAATTCATAATTAAAAGAAGAAAAAAAAAACATAAAAAGGAACCATACGCGCGGGTAAAATACCTAGTAATTAACAAAACCTTACCAGTTAGCAAATATCATTTTATTATATTTTATGATTTGTTGTTCAAAATAAAAGATGAATATTGTAGAAGAATTAAGAATTGCAAGAAGAAGAAAAAATATTAGTTCATTTAACTATATAACTGACTATGTGTTATACTGTTATACCCTAATGTTTTTGTATTATTAAATTAATATTTACTTAGCTATTATATCTAGATAAAAAAACGTTTTTCTACTATAACTATTAGTAACAACTAAAAATTCAGACCCTTTAATTTTGTTTCATAATCTGGGCCCGTAGGCCAATGTTTAATTTTGTTACACATAGGCACGCCCTGACAGAGATGCTCAAAAGAAGCAATACCGTGTGGCCATGATGGCTGCAATAATATGCGGCTGAAACCCTAACATTATTATCTAACTAATCAAGCTTACTCTGTCAATGACAAGATTATTATTTCCAAACAGTATTTTTTTTTAAAACCTAAAGCACAAATGGATATATAATCACGCATACATATCAACGAATTTGTTGATTATCTAAGGCAAGTGCATGATTAACAAAATGATAGACTTGCGAAACAGAACTTTGTGTAAAAGACCGCAGTGAACTTTGGAAAACCTAAATGACGAGAGGAAGGATTAAATAAGAACAAGAAAGTAAACAAAATTTCGAGTATAAATAGATCACCACACATATGGATTTATATCATCAAATTAAAGTTTTAGGTTTACTGAAAAGAAAAAGAAAACGACAAAGGAAAAAGGAAAGAAATGGCAAAGACCCTCATCAACTCCATCAGCTTCACCGTTCTCTTGGTTGTTCTCGTGATGGCTTCAACCGGTAATAATTAAAGAAGTTGATCTCTATTATATTTTGTAGTTGTCTTTTCATTATCTTGTGCTGATGAACATGTCAACATCTAGGAATCCACAAGAGCGATGCGGGTACACTGAACTGCTTCAACAAGGGTGCTCCTCAATGCCCTCTCGCTGCTAACCGTGCGTTCCTTGGTGAGTGCGGGCCTGCGCCGTTCACAGAAGGTCATTGTGAATGTTGTAAATGTTGCCTAGAGATATACGGAAGTCCTGAAGTCTGTTGGGCGGTTGTTGAGGGAAGCGACAATCACTGCCATTGCTACAAAAAGGTATAAGGTTTGAATTAACCTCATAAAAAACTCCAAGTGTACACTGTTGATTTCGTTCGGTGTGAGGACATCACATGTGTGTATGTATATGTTCAAGTTTCTTTTGCTTCCAAATAAAACATAAAGTGCAAAGCTTATCACTGTTTGCCACCCAAGTGTAAGCTCATGTTGTGTACTTGTGTGCACTTTTGTAATATATAAAAACTCGTTTTGTGTTTTGTGTTCCTCAAATTTCTGTCTACTTCATTTATACTGACCAAATCTTGGACCATAAGATCAGTTTAGAACATGCATAATCCATGCTCAAAGAATATAGATGATTAACGTTGTTATCTACGTAATTTTCTGCTCGATTTTGTCTATACAATAAATTCACTCAAAAATTAAAATGACTCTCTTGAAAGTCTCTCTATTACAAAAACAAAAACAATTGGTGAAATTCGCCGCCTTCGTGTGAAACTCCTAGTCGAAATATCAAGCAATGAAGGCAATTGTGTTTGCAGAAAATTTTCTTCTTTTAGTCGCCAGAGGCTGATCTCGTAGCCATTATCAACACGCTCCTCCTCCATCTGTTTTCCATATTTCCTCGGAGAAAACTTCTCCACAAAAGCATCGATGGAAATCTAATATATTATTTGCGAAGTGAAAATTTCGTTTCCAGCCACCACGTTAACTCTCAGCTGGTTGATTACCCAGCTACCCTTAATGAAAATCTATTATTAAATCTTCATAATTCTTTTTTTATTAATTATTGTTTTATTGTATAAGGCCAAAAAAATATAGAAAATCTTGACGATATCTTCAAAATTTCCTTTTTTTTATTAATTATTCGTTTTTGTATTATGGAAAAAATACATTATTTTTATCTTATAAAAAGAATAAAATTATAATTATTTTTATAAAAAGAGAAAACCCTAGATTTTAGAAATCTATATACAAAGCTAGAAGTTGTCCATCTCAAAGTCGGGTCTTCGTGTTCTTCATCTTTATGTTTTAGGTAGATTGTTCGTGTTAATTATCTTGGAAATCATAACATATAAATCATCGTAGACCATAGACTCGGTAAATCCCTCTCTGTATATCGTAGCTCAGAATTCAATTTTCTGCTAGACGTAAAGTGGTTGAAGTAAAGCCTTACCCTTGATATAGGAAGAAAAAGCTTACTGCACAAGTAAAGAATAAGAATAAAAGGCTACAGCTCCTGATTTTAAGAGTTTTGAGTTAATATAATGGTTTAGATGTTAAGCTGCTTTGGGATTTGACTATGGTCGTGTTCTTTTCAAAGTCGCCAGCGGCTACGACATGCGATGGAGAAAATAGCCTATGAGGGAAAGAAAATAACACTGAACTGTCGCTCGAGATGAACGCGGGTGCTGTCCATGACGTCTTTTTTAGTCGCTGGAATTTATGGGCGACAGTTCTCATGTCTTGCGATTGGCTCGACTCCGCTCATGACGCAACATGCCTCCGCCACCACCGAATAATTTCGTAATCATGACTATTTTCTCAGTCGCAGTCGCAGGTGCAGCGACTTTGAAAAGAACACGACCTATGGAGTAATCTTCCTTTGCTGAATTAGTTGTTGGTAAAATTTCTTACTCAAGTTTTTAGGTTTACTTTTCACATAACACACAAGGTATTGAACTGGATTGGCTTCTGCGTACAATTCTTTCGCTAATTGTTGTTTAGATCTCTTCATCCAACACTGCAGGTATGGATGATGAAGAAGACGGATCTGCCTCTATCCATCACATGCTTGACGATAAGCATAGAGTTGCATTTTTCAAGAGTTAGCTTGCCAATATCGCTGAGGCTTTCAAGTGAGCCAACGTTTTTTTCTTCTTCATTCATATGCTTGCAAGCAACAAAACTTAGGAAACAGAGACATCATACTGAGAGAGTGATTTGTTAATGATGAAAACTGAAACACAGACGAAGTGGATATAAATGTATACTGTGTGGTCGTTGCTGGACAACTTTGAGCCCATCATGAAATTTCTGAAAGGTCATGAAGTCAACAAAGGTAAAAAGGTATGAAAAAGCTGGAAACCAAAGCTAGCTAAATACTTGATTAACATAAATTGCGGTCGTTATAACTTTGTATCAAACAACTAAATTAGTGGATAATGATGGCATAGAGCCATAACAAACAGAACTACTTGGGCTGCTCTTTGGTTTCAAAACTCATATTCTGAATTAAGTTTTTTTCTTTTTCGTTTTACCCAACAATTTATGTGTTTCTCTCTTCTTTTCCTATTTTTTTTTTACTATACGTGAAGATTAGTGTTCTACCAGGATGTTCAGCTTATGCAACTGGAGGAATGTCCCCATGATTATTTAAGAATAAAAGTTTGCAGCTCATGAATAATTCATGTGCATTATAATACAATTATGTTGATGCAAGTGCATGCCACATTGTTATTGTCAAAACAAAGGTTAGAAGAAAAAAAAAAAAGATGCACCGGTTAAACGTCATATGGGCAATCAGAGAAGGTTCGATCGCCTTATTTTGATCTTGGTTTGTGGTGAATCACTGAATCTTCTTTTACTAAAGTTGTATGCATATTGCTATTTGAATGTTTACTGTACTGTTAATTATATATGCATCTTGATAGAATCATTAACGTTAGTGATTAAGCCAAAGCGCAAGTCAAAGTTCATGGCTCTAATGGTTCCATACTTTACTTATAGAGATCATTATTTTAATTCAATATTCAATAATTTTTAGTTTTCCCTGTAACCACTTCTTAACAGTGTTTATCTTCATACCAATCGACTGATGAGAAAAATTGTTTTGTATTCATCAAGTGATGAGATCAAATTCTCCATTGGAGCAACCAAAGGCAACCTCTTAGCATATACTATTATTTGATGAACGTTTTACTAACATGTGAGTTGATGGACGTGAAAGTGGGGACTTAATTGTAATTCAAACTAAGATGGTCTCGCGGTTATATATCTCTTAAGTTAGAGAGCCGGTGTGAGTCGAAACAAATCTTTATTCGGGTTTGGGTATATCGGGTCCAAGTCTAAAAAACCAAATTATACTCGATATTTTCCTATTATGATTCAGGTTTTGATATCCTGATTATTATCACCCGAAAATCCAAAAATATACCCAAAATCTCCGAAAAATACCCAAAAACCCGAAAAATATCCATTAACCCAATTTTGTTTTACAAAAGAATAAATATAAATACTGGAAATGTATCCGAAATCCCAAAGAAAATCTGGAAAACCGAAAAATTAATTCATATAATATCAAAAATAATTCACAATACTCATACTTCAGATCAAGTATCGATTCCGTTCGGGTATTATTTGATATCCATGAGTATTAAAATATTTTATCCAATGGGAGATTTGATTTATACCCGAAACCAATCGGATATAGAAATTTAGAGTTGGCACAATTCAGATTTTTGGGTATCGGTTAAAAGTTAAAAGTCCGAGGCCTACAAGCAACAAGTAAGGAGTCTTAGTGTAAGCTAAGTTTGGGGCATAATGGAAATCCTTAAAGAATAGCATTATGATACTTCTAAGCTAAGTTAATGGTATAACGAATATATGGTTTGGAAAAAATAATTCTCTCAACACTATTTCTGAATTGCCGTTTGAAAAAAAGGCATATATGTTAGCTCTAGAATGAGCCCCACCCAAAAACTTGCATAGTATGAAGATAATGTTTTGGTGCAAGAAGTAAAATAACATGTAAATTACTACTTTGCAACAGGAGATTGTGGACCAAATAGATGTCGAAAAGTCTTCGACTGTATTAAAGAAGCTTGGTTTTACCCTAATTAGAAATTTATAACTCATATTAAACCGCACTGAAGATTTTAGGTTAATGTAAGTCATATATCATTACAAAGAGGTTCAACATAATTTTTTTGTAGGAGGTAATACACACGAAATCAAGAAACTATAACAATAATGTAGGTGCTTCATATGTCATGTTTAGCAACCATTGGGTAACTTACTCAAAGCAAATCTAGAGAACGGGAGATCCACTAAATACCAATGAACAAAGAGATAAGAGAAAGAACCACAAAACAACTACTTCTTTTAAGAAAATCTTGAATCATTTTGTAAGGTGGGGTTAGGATGTACGGTTTAGGAGGGGGGGGGAGGATAATGTGGGTTAGGATGTATGGTTTAGAGGGGGGAGTTAATGTTGGGTTAGGGTTTAGGGTATAGGCTTTATACTGTTAGATGTAGGGTTTAGTTTTTCATGCATTTTTCAAATTTTGAATACACTAACATTGCTGATTTAAAACAAAAACAACTAAAACAATAAAAGTAAATCCAGAACCAGTTTGTAATGTGAGGTTAGGGTGTAACAGCAGTGGTTGATATATTGATAAATCTAACAGACTGAGTTCTTGGAGATTCTTGAGCTTCCCTACAGTCAAAGGTATTTCACCAATGAATCTGTTTGAGCTTAAATCTATAAATCTAAGTTCAGGGCAATCTTCGATATCGGAAGAGATAGTTCGGTGGTGTTGGAGATAACGAGTTTCTAAAGTGAGCTAAACGAAGAGATGTTAAAAGGGAAAGGTAAAGCCATCTGAACAGAGACGACATTGGTCATTGTAACAAGTTTGTATGAGGAGGAACACCTGATGTAAGGCCATCCCACTGGGTCGGAGTTAGAGGGATTCCAGCCGGAGAATGTTGTGGGGTGGCGAACTGGAGCTGTGAAGCCAAGAAATCAAAGCAGCCACTGAGGAAAGAAAGAAGGTAATAAAAAAAACTAGAAACAGTTAAGGCTTTCTTGGAATCGGCAACTACAAGACTAGATGAAGGAGTATGCATAGAGTGGGTTGTAGTGGCAGAGTTTGAGGGACTCTAAATAGAAATCCTCTCTACTTATGGTTAATGATTAGTGGTGGTATATGTCAAGATCCATTATGTCTCTAATTATGGTTAATGATCCCCAAGAAACAAAATCTAAGATAAAAAAAAAAGGAAGAATAAGAACACAAAGCTAATTGAAAAACAAATTG